TATATATATATATATATATATGTATAGTTTAAAAATTAAGAGGTCATCAATTTGACTGAAATCGCCTGAATATATCGAAAGGTTGAAAACAAGGTAGACGAATCGGCTGATCTAATATTTTTAATTTAAAAGCTCTATTTGTTAAATTTTTATATTTTTTAGGTTTATTGAGAACTTTTTAATATTATTATAAAGTTATTAGTCAGCGTTGAATAAGACCATGAAGGTCTTATTCAACGCTGACTATTAGCTTTTTTTTATTATATATATATATTTGTAAGAGTCCACCCCTTTTTATACAAGTGGACTCGACCAGTGTGTACTTGTACTGCTACCGGTGAATACCCGAGGGCATATTGTCAGAGAGTGACAGTGACAGTGAGAGTGAGAGTATGAGGTAACCACTTTGTAGGAGTCAGAGTTGCGAGCACGTAGACTCAAAAGTAAGTCATACTTCGATACTGAATTTCCCAGACTGTATATATATTATTATTGCTACTAATTGAATGCATTTCTGGATCTACTAACCGTATTACCAATTGTATTATTACGTCAATACATTTATTTGCCATATTTCATTCCTGCGTTTGTCATTTATTTGAGACGGGATTTCATCCCGGAATCCACAACAAATTGGTGACGAGCGATTCGAACTCACACGAGAAGAAGAAATAGAAAAATTCTCTCCTCGTCCACAACAAATTGACGACAAAGAGTTACGAGAATTAAAGATACGTAAAATTGAGTTATCTTGGAGAGATTTTTAAAATATTTTGGTAGAACTGATAAAATACCAAAATGATCAACAATTACAACTACAAGAAAGAATGAAGAAAAATGGCAAAAGCAATTACTACAAACGCAGAAGGAAAATCAAGAAAGACAAATAGAGCTCCAGGAACTAATATTGAAAGTAGCGGGTAACAAGCAATTAGATATTGAAAAAGAATCAACTTTTTCGCAAGACGCAGTGTGGAGATATAGAGATTTTCAAATATTCTCTAGATGGGGACAAAAATTTTGGAGATTACTTCAGAAGACATGAAGACATTTTTAACATCGACTGTCAAAACTGGACAGAAGCAAAAAAGCTACGTCTATTGCTAAGAAAATTAGGAACTGAAGAATATACAAAGTTCGTGGATTATATCTTGTCAAAAAAGACGAACGAATTAACATTTGACGAAGCAGTGACTTGTCTTAAAGAACTCTTCAGCCCAAAAACATCACTCTTCCACAGGAGGTGGAAATGCCTTAACCTGGTAAAGAGCGATAATGAGGATTATTCTACGTCTGCCGCAATCGTAAATAAACATTGTGCCGACTTCAAATTAGCGGAATTAACCCCGGACAATTTCAAGTGTCTCATCTTTGTTCAAGGGTTAGTTTCAACAAAAGATAGTGAAATGCGCAAAAGAATGCATTCGAAATTACAAAATGAACCTGGACTAACACTACAACAATTGTTGGAAGATTGCCAGAAATGTCTAAGTAAAGACTCAAAGGACATTGAGGAGTCAGCTGTATCTCATATACGTAAGTTAAACAAAAGTCTACGTTTTTCACCCTCCCCGGAAAGAAAACAAAAATTCTATAAGAGAAAAAGTACAACATACAGGACAAATGACAAAAATCGAAGCAAATATAAGCCCCCCCCCACCATCAGCATGTTATCGATGTGGAGGACTACATTGGAACAAGGATTGCCGTTTTAGATATAAAAATTGTCTTGAGTGTGGAAAAAAAGAGTCACAAGGGATCCCAATGTAGGAACAGAAAAGATACTAGTAGAATAAGAGCTACTAGGATGCATAACGAAGACAACACCAACATAAGGAAATATGTTGAACTTGAAATTTTAAATAAAAAGATAAAATTGCAACTGGATTCGGGTTCCGACCTCACGATAATCAACCTACAGACATGGAGAAAACTTAACAGACCTACCATGTTACATACACAAAAAATTGCCAAGTCGGTTACAGGCAAACGAATAAAATTCGAAGGAGAAATAATCGTGGATGTTAAATTTCACGGCAAAACAAAAAACTTAAGATATACTTCATGAAAGATACTGAAAATCTAGTAGGTATCGACTGGATGCAAAAGTTCAACGTTTGGGATCTACCTATCATCTCTTTTTGCAAAAAGTTAGAGTTTGAACCATCAGATGCTATAAAGTCAAAGGAAGAATTATATAACCAATTTCCTGAGGTATTTTCAAGCGGGTTGGGACGATGCAGCAAATTCAAGGCCAGAATTGAATTAAAAGAAAACGTCCAACCAGTATGTAAAAAGAAGCGAAATGTGCCATTTGCTACCATAGATGAAAACAGTAAAGAGTTATACAAGGGAGTAAAGGAACTACCTGTGACTTTGCGAGAGATAAGAAGAGAAGCGGAAAAGTATGAATTTATGCAGAGGACGAAGGTAAAAATACAGACTGTATTTGACAAATTATTACCAAACAAGAACAAAAACCAGTATACACCTATTGTATCCAAGAGATCATTTAAAACAGGAAGAGAAAATTTACCAAACCTCTGATTATCAACCATAAGAGAAAAAATGTAGTTGAAATCATCTGTGGCAAACGAGATTCGACTCAAAAATGGCTAGCCGTTTGATATATTTGTGTCTCTTTTAAAATTTGTTTTGTGTAGAGTGCGGCGTGTGTATACCTTAGCTAAACAAAAATTGGTGTGTAGTTAGAGATATATGTTTTTTAATAATTGTGTAAATTTGGTTTTAATTTATTATCTTTAACTATATGTAAATTGTATTTTTCCGCTACACCCTTGTTGATTGTGTGGCACGAAGTTAGGGAAGTATCCATTTCTTCTCTAAACTGTTGCAGAAGATATCCTGTCAAAACCATCAGACTGAGGCAGACTATGTTGTTGACATCCGCCTGTTTAACGATACAGACAACTTACTTTGTAGCTTGGGGAATGCTACGAGAGAAATTGTGTTATATGTAAATGCGGACAAGACAAAGTTCATAACTTTTGACTGACAAGAACTATTTGTCTGATATACAGTGTGGGTTAGCTCACTTGGCTCTCTCAAAAGCGCTCGCTAGGGGTCTCTCTTTAAGCCTATGAATAGGCAATGATTTTTTTTCTTTTTAAGCGTTTCACCCCAAGCAAGGCGGGAAGCCACTAGGACGCAAGGGGTTACAGAAGATTTGGAGCAAGATCAGATAGGAGTGATAGAGAAGGATAGTGGATAGATGTCGATTGACATTAAATTTGAATAGTTGGAGATTATAGCTTTCAGGGAAACTGGAATAGGGAAGGGAGTTTCACAGTCGAGAGGTGCGAGACATGAAGCTATTGGAGTAGAAGAGACGGCTATATTTAGTAGATTCGACAGTGAAGGGGTGAGAGCGGGATGCCAGCCTCGTAGGGCGCTTGAATTCATGAAGTCTGGGAACCAGTGAAAGCAGCTCATCGGAGCAATTGACATGAAAGTATTTGTAAAACAGACAGAGAGAGGCGACGGCGCGTCTGTGAGAAAGTGACTGTAGACGAGATGCCAGAACAGAGCCAATTATATTGCATATCCGCCTCTGGAGCCTATCAAGAACCCTGAGGCAAACAGAAGGGGCTCCAGACCATATATGGCAGCAATACTCCATGCAAGGGCGAATTGTTGATTTGTAGATCTGAAGGATCGATTCTGGGGAGAAAAATTTCCTGGCGCGGAGCAGGGAGCCAACTTTCCTTGTGGTGGACGAAGCAATTGACTCAATGTATTTGTTCCATCTCAGGTCAGTAGACAACGTGAGACCGAGAACGAGCACACGCTCTGTTTTATGGTCTATTTAGCTCAGGCATTCGGATGTAGTCGCACGTAGAGAGGAAGGGTGTCGTTGGCGCGCGTTCGATTTATTGGCCTCTCTTTGACTTTTGTAATCTCTCAGAGACACATATAGACACACGTGTCTATCACACACACACACACACACACACACACACACACACACACACACACACACACACACACACACACAGAGAGAGACAAGCCCATTCTTATTGTTTTTCCTTTTTGTTACAATTGTCTACACTTGTAATTCCTTTTATTAATAAAGGGTGTTTCATTAAGACAGATCATATATAAGAGTGTTTCATTAAGACGGATCAAAGTCAGCAGTAAATAAATCAGTGTTATTGTTGAAAATTTATTAATTTCTCTATTGGATCATGTTATTTAAGTCATGGCAATTATGTGTGAAAAATAATATCGCCCAAATGTGCGCCAAATCTGAAAGAAAAAGAAAAAAAATTCATTAGACGCTTAAACTTAATTCACATTTAAAATCTGTCCAAGTTATTGAAACACCTTTTACATGCATTGTCGTTTGTTTTATATTTTCTGTTTTGTAATTGTTATTTTTGCCTGGACCCATATTGAGTCCGGCTATATTGTTTGCGGGATAAATCTTTCAGTAGCCCGTAAATATTTACTATCGAATGTGCTGATTCTTGCAACTAATATTTGACTAATATTTGCCCAAACAAGCAGATAAACAGTGACGTCTAATTAATTTATATTGGCCTCTACAGAGAGACATCTAAATATCGGCTTTGGCAAGGCATAGGCTGCCATGAAGAGACTACCATCAATTTGTAAATCAAATTTATTCATCAGCAAGATTGCAGCCTTCTTCCAAGCTATTGCCATATTAGTATGGACATTAACAAAGTATCCGTAAAAAAATAGAGCATAATGGTGTTGCTTGTCGCTTTAAAACTTTCCTTGAGACAGCAACTCCCCAAATAACAACTCTACGGCTCTCTACCTCTACTTCCCATCTCCTCTGAGAAAGAACACAGTTTGTAGGACATACCTAGGGAAATAAGAATGGGCTAACTCAAGGATAAGGATGAGGTTTGAATATCAAAACAAGCGCGCACGAAGAAAGGTCGACCTTTCAAAACGAACACTCAACAATTATGTGAAGATAGAGGATGCAAATCAGAAGACCTACCAAGTTGTACGGCCATATCACGTTGAAACACCAGTTATCGTGCGATCATCAAATTTAAGCAACATTTAGCCTGGTTAGCACCTAGATGGGGGACCGCTTGAGAATACGAGATGTTGTATGTTTGGATGTTCGAGTAGTGTAATAAATGGCTCGGAATTGCAAAATAATTTGCTGTATTTCAAAAAATAATTTAAAACTAATTTAAATTGACTGGAAGGAGTTTCTATTTTATTTTATTTTGCTAAAATAGCTCAGCAGCAAACTTTTTTTTTTAGTTGCCTTTCATCGCAATCTAAAACATCTTCCAAAAATAATATATAGTTTTCTGAAACTTTATTTGAGGAACATAAAGTAAAATTAATCTGATTTGAAAAAATATTGTTTACTTTAAGAATAAAATATCACTGAAATGCATTTTTTAACCCGACTGTAGCTGTGTTTTTAACCCGGCAGTAGCTGTTTTGATGTGTTGGCAGCATTATGAGAGATCTAATATTGTTCCACGGAGACATTATTTGTAAAACATAATTGAAGAAAATGACGTAAGCGCCTTTTTATATAATTTTTAAGTACTCAGTAATCTTAAAAAAATTTGAAAAATATTCTCCTTAATCTAATGTTTTATTAAATTTTAGAAATACTGACTTTAAATTTACTATAGTCATCGTTCTTATTTTCTGATAATGTCGCGTATGGTCTCCTGTACATACAAAAAAATTCAAAATTCTTTTAAAAATGTTAGTGTTTGATGATTTGTATTACGCTATTCCGTTTATGATTAGTAAATATAGTTTTCACTTAATAATAATATCATCTAAAAGGATGATATTAAGAGAGAATTTATAAAGATATAAAACTTAATACATTTTTATAATTAAAATAAAAAAATGAAAACTTTATTCATTATTCATCGAAAAATCTTTTTCTTAAGACAATAATGTCCTTAATACATTTTATTTTTAAAAGCAATTAAAAGCTTTTCTAATTAAATAATCTCTTAGTTTCATTGCATTTTTTTACGATACCGGGTAGATTTTCGGTAAATGGTATTTCGGTTCGACAAAAAACAAATCGATGATTTAAATTCTCCAAAAAGTCCTGCTTTTAACCAATGTGAAGAGTCCGAAATTTTCATTTCTCAAAATTTCATAAAAAATATATATATATATATATATATATATATATATATATATATATATATATATATATATATATTTAACATAATTTTCTAAATACAAAATGAAAAAAATAAGTGTATTCATTTGTGAATAAGTCTTGAAAATTTCATTAAAATCCGACTGATTTTTGCAAGAATTTCGAAAACAATGTTTTTTACGACATAAAAGACGCTAAAAATCCCTATACTAATCATGGATCCACCGATGCAAGAAAAACAATATTTTTAATCAAAATTTTGAACGAGTATTAAAAACATTAATAAAATAGCAAAAAATATGTTGGTCTTTCCTCTTAATAATAGCAGAAACATTTTGACGATAAAACTTTGTCTTTGTCAAGTTTGGAGCCTTCTTTTCTTCATGGTATGCTCTTTTTTCTTTGAAAATTTTTGGAGTTACCTTCTTTAAAAAGGAAGACCCTTATTCTGACTCAAATGCACTCAAATACTGACCAAACATATTTACACACGCATGCGCCGTCTGACAGAGTGATGCAAGCTGATGACGAAGTTATATCTTCATAAAAATCATCGAACATCGTGACATTTTCTTTATTAGTCATCGACAGTGACATTTGATGGCATGACTTTTCAGATAGTTGAATTGCGAGTTATTTGACGGTTCATTTAGAATTTTACCACGTCATCATTCGATCCGTTTTTCTTTTTTTTTTTTTTTTTTGAGTAATGTTACATTTATCGTCTGTCAGCCACGTATGTACTCGTGTTAATGTCGTGTTCCCAAGATCAAAGATTCAGACAAAAATTTAGAGTTTGACCTATACATGCGTAAATTTGTGTTCAGCTTTAAGCCGTATACAAAAAGTAGGACTGGAATTAATTTTCAGACATGGAAAATAATATGTGGAGGTTACAAAATTTGATTATGGCTTTAAAAATGGACAGGTATATATAACATATTCAGAGATATTAAAACAAGCGAGAGCGAAAGGAAATGAAGACAATATTACTCACCGTAAAGTGGTAATTCGAAAAATTATTTAAAAAATATCACAAAACGTTTCAAGAACCAAAGACAAATAACAGTTTTTGATTTATTTTTCTTTCCTCTCAATGTTTTAATATATTTTTAATATATTATGCGAATATATAGTTTTTGAAATCTCCATTTTAAAGCTGTAATAGATACAAAAAATAGTCGTTACATCGGTTTAAAATGAGTGGTTGTTTGATTTCACATTTTCTATTGGGAGTGGAGTTCGCGCATTCGACTGGGAGTGGAGTATACACTTTCGATTAGGAATGAAGTTTGTGCATTTCATTGGAAATGGAATTAACACTTCCGATTGGGAGTGGAGCTCGCACTTCCGATTGGGAGTGGAGTTTGCGCATTCCATTGGGAATAGAGTTAATTCTTCCGATTGGGAGTGGAACTTGCACTTCTGATTGGTAATGGAGTTTGCGCATTCGACTGGGAGTGGAGTATACACTTCCGATTAGGAGTGGAGTTCGCATTTCCGAATGGGAGTGGAGTTTGCGCATTCCATTGGGAATGGAGTTAACACTTCCGATTGGGAATGGAGTTCGCACATCAAATTGGAAGTGGAGTTTGGACATTCGATTCGGAGTGCAGTTCGCAATTATATCCCGTAAAAATCTTGCTTGTTATAGAAATCGCTACAGTATACAGTAATATATTTTAATACTCTATTATGCTATACGCCACATAATAATTAACGAATAAATATGACGAAAAATAAATTTATTTAAATATTTGTCCCAACCGAAAATATACGGATAGATGTAATCTTAATTCTAACCCTAAATCTATGAATGATACTTTTAAACCGTTAATGTAAATGTTTTTTTTAAAATTTTAATTAGGTTCATGAAATTGTTATCCCACTTATCAATATTATAACAAAAGCAACATTAATAATAATAATAATAATAATAATAATAACAATAATAATAAAAAGCTGTCAAAATACAAGGACCTTGAAATAGAAATCTCGAAAATGTGGCATATAGGAACATCAACAATCCCTGTTGTAGTTGGAGCCCTAGGACTGGTCGGAAAAGATTGCAGTAGACTAATTGAAGGGATTCCTGGAAGACTATGCCTCAAGGAGATACAAAAAATTGTTCTGACAAGTACAGCCCACACCTTACGAAGGGCTTTATCTATGTAATATTTTTTTTTGTCAGTGGAAAGTGTCATGATGCCATTTCTAACCTTAGGTCTCTGGGCGGGACCCGGAAAGAAATGTGTAAACGCCAGAAATCAAAGAAAATAATAATAATAATAACGTGTTTATTTTTTATTATTTATTCAATTATTTTATTACATTATTTATTAGTGAATACTTATTTATTTATCTAGTTTATTTACTATTATGTTTTAAATTGAGTTATATCTTTTATATAAACACATGGGGGAGTAGTTTACACTGATCTACCGGGCGGATTGACTCAACTGCCTAGAGTACGGACCGAGGGTGATCCACACCATATTCGGCATTCGGTAGTCGGTCAAGAGCTTAGAGAGGGGATGGACGTTGCCAAGCTATCTGAAGTCCCACTGAAAAGTTCATGAAGAAAAAGAATCCAGGCAACACCATACCGGACCGGTCGCGGCCCCGGATCAACACCGGCCGCGGGTGTCATTGATTCACTCCAGGATGGGCATCACAAGTGGTTGAAAGGAATGACAGACTCCATCAAGCTACCAATGCAGGGCACAACTATCGGAACGTGGAAGGTTCGCATTATGCTTTCAAAGAAAGAGCGGACGGATATGACGATGCCGGAACTTTTGTGAGTCACCGTCAACAGATCAGCCTGGTGGAGGTTGTATTTTCCTTCTGTCCTCAGATCCCCTCCCCTGAAGATTGAAGCACCCGAGGGACGGATGATGAAGATGATAATGACATAAATAAATTAAATATTAAAATGGTAGTGGTAATATTAACCGTCTCCTTACAAGGAAACATTTGCTATTTATTGACCGAGCAATCAGCACTGTTTTCGTTGAAATTCATAAAATTGAAAGGAAAAATGATTTCTCAATTCCAGTAGCTGTTATCGATCTTTCCATTATTGATGAGGATTTCCTTCCGAATTTTCCATTTAAAGTGATGTGGAATGTTAACATCTTCATTATGTCATTATTTTCTATTCGTTGCTAGTCCTCAAGTGATGTGGTTTCTGTTATTTGGTACAGTTCTTTGTGATTCTGTAACGCTAGTCCACAATGTTCAAAGAAGGATGATGATTGCCAAGATCCTCAGGTTTTATTCACTCAAAGCCTTTTTTACCATTGATCTTAGGAAGCAATTATATACAGCTGACAGATAAGATATTTCTGAACGTGTTGGCGTCATGTATGACACCTATATCAAAGTTTCGATCTGAACATGACTCTAGTTTTCAGGTTGATGTTTCCGTTTCGTACCAACTTGCTGTATTGGGCGAAACTATCCCTGGCACATCCTATTCTATTTTCATATGCCATCACTGCTTCCATTCTAGTTTCAGATTATAGTCTCTCTTTTGGAAAGGTTTATCTTGAGTTTCATTTCTTGGAACACTTGATAGAGGATTCTGATTTTCTGTTTACGATCATTCTTATTCCATTTATGTCATCAGCACCACCCCCGCCATCATCGATGCATTGGCCTCGGGAGGGAAAGCAGGATCGTTATCTTCTATTGCTAGACTCTTTGGAAAGAGATATGGAATGTTTAAATAAACATTTGTGGAAATATTTTGGTAGGGTCAGTTACTGCCTTTCGATATCTCGGATGTAGTTTTTAATTTGACGAAAGGACTAAACATCAAATAAGTTTTAGTTTCTCTATGTCAGACAAATTATTAACAAAGTACTAGGTCAGATCAAAAAGAATCTAGACTGCTGCTAGAAAAAGACACAAAGCGATTGTATACAAGAAACGGTTGTATACAGCAAACAGTTTTGATATA